CTGAGAATAGCATAAAATTAGCTATTAACGTATAAAATTACTTATAAGGATATTCTTTTATTTAATACTATTCATATACGTAAACGTTATAATTATTTAGGGAATACAGATTATGTGTATTTAAAATGTTTGATTAAAATGTTATTTAATAATAACCTAACAAATAATAGTCCCCAACCTATTCAGATAAAAAAGTTGTTAGATTAGTAAGGTGTCTTTTATTTGTTCAATTTGAAACGTCTTACTTTTGTTTTTTTTTTAATAATTGGATAAAAAAATATGATTGCTCTCAACTACGAGGGCAAAGAAATCAGAATGAATTCAAATTTATTTATTTATTTATTATTTTTTTTTAATAAAGAAGCTCTGAAGGTTCCAAGCGATTTGAGAAGATGGTAGCTCAAATATTGGAAATAAAAAAGGTTAATTAAGTAATCTAATTATTTCCATCTAAAAGTCAACTCCAAATGCTTCTATTAGCAGCGTTTTTTATTTAGAAGTTTGGCCATTTTTGCTAACTTGAAACTCCACAAAGTTTTAATGCAAGAGTTGCAAGTTGTTCATTCATCTTTTTTCCCCTTAAAATTTGTAGACGTCCATTATGGAAATTAAGGTGGCGCATTGCAAATACAGCTTTCTATAAAAGTTGCAGTTTTATCCTCTAACTTTACTCTTATTATAACATTGCACACTAAAAAAAAGTTAGAAATGACAAAAACTTGGACGCTATTTTCATAAAGTAGCAAAATCATGCGCTTAACTCCTTTTGCTTTTGCTTCTTTATTGTCCCCCTTTTTTTTCCACTTATTGGGTCCTTTTAAATGGAATCCAATTGAGATATTCGTCACAATGAATGTCATTTCAAAGAGCAATGATTTAGATTGGATATATAATCATTGACCACTCACTTACTTATACATAAATCATATATTTGAAAGGGATTGAAATGTAACGATAGGATATCGAATCTTTTGAGATTTTGTAGCTTAATTTACGTTATAGTATAACATATTTACTTGTCTATTTTTAGACAATTAAGTATATTCATTTTCGAGAAATGTTATAGTTACATAATATTGTACATAAGGGTATTATACATAACATTCACATTGAGTGGGGCCGACTAAAAATAAAAAATCAAGTGAACCCACTCCAGGTGAGTATTATGTACTTGTAGCATTTTCCTTTATTTTCATATTTTATATTCACGCTAGTTAAAGGTTTTAATTTTATAACTCTCGTACAAATATTTATTGACCAAACAAATAATTTTTTTTTAAAACATTATTCATAAGTAGGATTGAATTAGTAGATGCGAGATTTGTAAGATATATTAAAATAATACTTCAACACGCTTTTCAAATTCGTATACAGTAAATTTTGTTTCTGAATCCTTAATTTTTTTTATTGTATGAAATGACGAGGTACGAGTTATGCTATTTTTGTGATTTCATTTGTACCATACTTCATGAGGGAAAAAAATATTTTGTCCCTTTGATGTGTTAGGTCACAATTTTTTCGAATATATAAACTCTAAATAATAGTATAATGCTTGAATTAAATATGCTACTTTGACTAAGGAGGTTCGCGCACCTTGGGAATAGAACTCATGACATAAGAAAGTTGCTTTTATGTTCGTCCCATAGAAGAAGGACCTTTGCTTGTCTAATGGAAATGTTATATGTACATAATATTATATATATAGGAGTGCATATAACACTCATATTGAGTGAGACTTATTAAAAATAAAAAATTAAGTGGACTCCACTCCATGTGAGTGTTACGTATTATGTACATTTATTATGTACATATATATAGGTAATTTTTATTGGTTTTAGAATTGTTAAACAAACTGAATTACTGGTAAACAAATTGAATTAAATATGTTCTTATTGTTTTTAGAATTGTTAAAAAAATTAAATTTGGCTTGCCAAATTCGAGTTTGATTAAAATTCATTAATTGAAAAGTCAGAGCTCGACTATACTCATTAGTTTGAGAAATAGGATTTTTAAATAATTTCTTAACTATTATTTCAATTCATACTCATTAAACAATTATTCTTACACATCACATCAACTTTAATTCACTATTCATCTAATTTTAACTAATCATCACTTCCAATCATTTTTTTTACATCAAATCAATTTTAATTATCTTATTTAAATATTATTTTAATATATCCATTCACAACTAACCATACCATATTTTTTAAAATTAACTATAATTAAAAAACAAACCAAATAAAAAGTAGCTGAATCTGTAAACATCACCCCTAAATTTTCTCCCATAATTTAAGGGCCAAATGCAATTTGACCTAATTATTTTATCTGGGAGTGTGTGATTAGTATAGTAATTATTATTGTACTGACCGCTTATCTCATTTAATTAACACTAATCATACTTTCAGCAATTAAACATTAGCGTTTGTCGGCCGCCAAGTGTCATTAGTGCAACCTTACTACAGACAAAACGGTTTCCCATATGATTTTTAGACATGTAGACTTATTTACTTATTTAATTAGATGATCTATAATTCATAAAATATTTAAAAATATTTAATTTTTTGTAACTTAAATTAGTGTGTTAAAATCAATTTCAATATTGCATTTGAAGCTTTACCTTTTATTTTCAAAAAATAAACAAATAAATAAATGGACTGAATTGATAATCCAAAAGTTAGCCAATCATTTTAAATTTAAAAGCTAAGCTAAATTAGCTTTATTCTGAATAGAAATGCAAACGAGCAGACGTTGTCGATCGAGGTAGGATTCAGATACATATAATCGAGTGCCGAACACTCAAGCAATGAATTTAAATGTTAAATCAAATTCGAGTTAGAGTCAAGCATTGACTTGAGTAATGACAAAAAACATGATTTTATGATGCCCTAGAGCTTGCAATTAGAGTGTTAAATGAAACGAGCAACTCGTGAACTTGTCTAAAACAGTAAAGCATGACATCGTTAACAAGTCGGGCTTGACTTTTTTTATATATATAATTTTATATAATTCATCTCGTTAAAATTCGAGTTCAACTCAAATATGATTAATTTATATTGATAAATAAGTCAGAGCTCAATTTCTATTACTTAATTATTCAAAAAAGCAAATTTAGTATTATTACTGCTTTGGGTATGCAGCATGTGAATACACGTGCCAACATTAATTATTTTTCTTCTCATATACCACTTCCAGTATCCAAACATGTGTTTATTTATACTATTTTAATTTGTTATAATTTGTCTCCATCTAAATCTGAATGCATATTTAATATATTCTGAAAATATGTTTTTCTTTCGAAATTGAGTTGTACGAAGTGTTATATTTATTATTACAACAAATTTATGGACAAAATAATTATTTTCTGTTGTTATGGGCATCGAAGAAGTGTCGGCAGCTATTTAATTTACTTTTCAGTCCAGCAACTTATTTTATATGTAACTTTAGTCCATGTAGTATGTAAAACTACCATTTAGTAAAAGACACCCATTAAAAATTTTCCAAAAGCTGGGGCCATAATTTAATTTTCACATAAAGAATTATTAGTGCAAATAATTCAGCAAAGCATTAGGTGCAATATCGTACATGCATGTATGTGACTAACACGTAAAAGACAAAAAAATATAAGTTTAATCATGTAATTAGATAAGGAAAAATTGTATTTTAAGACATAAATTTATTTACACAGGATTTTTAAATAACGTTACTATAAAAAAAATGTCCCTGTCGAGTCCAAGATCACCTAAAAAATCTTAGACCCTGGCCAAATTTTGACGTGGAAAGAAATAACTTCAATTATTGGAGATTCGTTGACAATTTTTGCATAATCAACTACATATATATAAATGCATCTTCATTTATGACTTAGTGCACATATATTAAGTTAAAAAAGTTTTGGATTAAGATTGACTCAGTAATATAGTAATTTTTTTTTTTTAAAAAAAAAATGGTATAAAATTTGAACAATGCTACATTAGTTGTTTGTATATAATGGTATCACAAATAATGTATTTACGGTGTCTTGCAGTATGGAGTCGAACTTAAAAATCTTTCTTCCCTCTTATATATTAATTTAAAATGTGATGAGCCTAAGTGGCAACATTACATGCTTCGTTATTAGTTTTGGGTAGATTTTAATTTACTTCTAATCGAAAAATAATTAGATCCGGATTATTCGTAAATATGTTGATTATTTATGGTAATGTTACATGTATTAATTGCATTTTAATATCATTTCTTAGTATAACCATTGAATTGTAGATGTATTTTAAAAGTTAATAACTTTTGTACTTTTTATCAGTTTTACATATATGATATATCAAATTAATCATCTCGTGATGATTTCGATTTAACATCCATATTGTATGAGTTATATGATATAAGTTATAAAAATTACTATAATAACACATATAAGTCACACAAGTAACAAATGTCATTCTAAAATATATAATAATATATATTTTTTGTAAAAAAGTAAATAAAATTTAAAATAATTTTTCTCATTAATTTTAAAATTTAAGAATAATTTTTTAACAAGCACTAATGTAATACATGGGTGTTGTAGTAGTATATATTTATACTATAAAATGTCATACATTTATTTATATTTTATTTTAAAGTTTGACATTATATTATGAAATATGTATATTTCAATTTTGTTATGAAGTCATCCCCAACTTTTCACAATTAGTTACATGTATCCTCAAATAAACAAACTTAGTATATCTGTTAATGCTTCAATTAAATAAGGTTTTCAAGAACCAGACCTTTCATTGATCATGTCAAGCTAATATTTTAATAATTCATTGGACCAATGTTGAACCAGTCCGACCGATATTTAAATTAATTAATTTTTTTAAACATATAATATCTTATGTGATAATTTTTACATATGAAATTAGTATTAAATAAATATTCAGAACATTTAAAACTTTTAAATATTTAAATTAATGGATTGTTAATCTATACCTATCCATTATATTTAAATCC